GCGACTCTTGACGAGAGTTCTTTACACGATCAGGGTGACAAAAAAAAAAGAGAGAGAGAGAGAGAGAGAGAGAGAGAGAGAGAGAGAGAGAGAGAGAGAGAGAGAGAGAGAGAGAGAGAGAGAGAGAGAGAGAGAGAGAGAGAGAGAGAGAGAGAGAGAGAGAGAGAAAGAAATGCAGGCGAATAAAGAATCGCCTAATAATTCTTGTTGGAGATAAATTATTCGTCTGTACCACTCAGTGCAGAATTAGTACTCGATCAAATTTTTTCTCAGTTGCAGGCTTCGCACTCATCTACTAAATCCTACTATTTGCTACTTTTTTGGTACTTTTTTAGATTTCAGCCACTAAAAGCTACGATTTCTGTTTTTTTTTTTTGAGAATTTCCACTACTTTAAATTTGCTAATACTAGAAATCAAAAACTATTCTCAAAAAGTATAATCAAATTCTTTAAAAGGATTCAATTATTTTCGAAAATAATAAAATTCATCGCAGGATTTCAATTATTTTTAATACAATTTCAGAGGAAGTACTCAAAAAATGTAATTATTCTTAAAAATTAAATTTCGAATCCTCGAAAAAAGCAATTATTTAAAAAATGTTTTTTTTAATTCTTTGAAAGAATTCAATTATTTACAAAAATATTCGAATTTTTCACAGGAATTCAATTATTTTCAAATATTTTAGTAAAATTGTTCGAAAGAAATCAATTTTTTTAAATACAGTTTTAATTAAATTTTTTTGAAATAATTAAATTACTTTTTTAGATTTTTATAAAATTCTTCGCAAGAATTCAATTATTTAAATAAATAATTCTTCGAAAGAATTCAATTATGTCAATAAATAACAAAATTATTCTCTCGAAGATTGAATTATTTTGAGACATTTTAATCAAATTCTTTGCAAAATTCAATTATTTTCATAAATAATAATATTTATCACAAGAATTCAATTATTTTTAAAAGTAATAAATTTCTTCTTGAAAATTCAATTTTTTTTTGAAAAATTATAATAAAATCGTTCGCAAGAATTTAATTATTTTCATGAATAATAAACATTTCTCAGGAATTCAATTATTTAAATTAGAATTTGCATAAAATTAGTCGAAAAAAATCAATTATTTAAAAGTTTTTATAGAATTTTTCGCGAGAATTAAATTATTTTTTATAAATATTTAAATTCTTTCATGAATAATAAAACTCGTTGCAGAAATTCAATTTATTGGCAGGATAAGAAAGAAGTAAATATTTTTTGATGAAAATTAGGAAAAAGTCAGAAAAATAAAATATAGAATGGAATTTTTGTCAGTTTTGTAAAGTGTCTAAAACGAATTTTTTTGGTCGTCAAGTTTAAATTTTCGATAGCTACTATTTTTTTACTACCTTTTTTAGTTTGAAATCTACTTTTTCCTACTTTTATAAAATTAATTATCGAGTACGAAGTCTGCGAGTTGAATAAATTTTTCTATACGATTTTCCTCATCGAAAAAGTAAGAAAGAAGGAGTATTTTCGTTTTCTCGAAAGAAAACTAAAAAGTAAGAAAGGAAAATATATTTCCTTTTCCTTACTTTCTAGATGTTCAGATATCAAAGATTTGGATTTTTTTTCTCTCCTTTCTTGGATCATGTTTGATCAAATTCGAAAAAAAGGGGAGCCTAGGCAAACTGTATAGACGATGAAGAAAGCTCCGTCACGTTGTCACGTCGCCGTCGTCCTACTTGAGGGAACTGACGAGGACCGCATAAATAACCCTCAGGTTTACGACGGCGACGCAGAGAACGAGAGAAGCTCGTTCCTCATATACCCGTTCCATTGCTCTTCTCTTTTCGCCGTGACCAGGAGTTGGAGTGCTCGTAAAGCTCGTCCTTGCGGTCATTTTGCATCATACAACATCCTAGGATCTTTTTTTCTCCTCCATGTGTGGCAAAAGGAAGGAAAAAAAGAAATCTTTTTCCTTCTCTTTGCTAGACTTTTGTTTCCAACTTTGGAAAAAGAAACTCCACTCACTCTCTTTCTCGCTCTTAAGCTAAAAAATCTAATCTCAGACCTCTCGTCTCCTAAAAAGCTACTCAATTCTTTTTTTACTATCCTTTTTTCATTTTCTTTTTTTTTCTCTTTTTGTTAAGGTAATATTTTTGGAAGTCTTTTTTTCGGCAAAAGAAGGCGAATATTTATTTAAATTGAAAAAAAAATTCTATTTGTAAGTGGAAGTTGTCACTGAAAAGAATTTTGGTTTGTTCCAAGTTGAACTCAAAAAGAAACACTTAGAATTCTTACTTAATATAAATAAGTAGAAATCTAAAATAACTATTGAATTCTGGACCAATTAGAATTCTGGTATACAATTACAAATGATTGTAGAAATTCAATTATTTTCAAAAGTAATAAAATTCTTCTCAGAAATTCAATTATTTTCAAAATTAATAAAATTCTTCTCAGAAATTCAATTATTTTCAAAATTTTTTTAAAATTCTCGTCAAAATTTCCATTATCTCTAAAAATAATAAAATGCTTCTTCAAATTCCAATTATTTTCAAAAATTTTAATAAAATTCTTTGCGAAATTTCAATAATTTTCAAAAAATTTTCCTCAATCCAATGATTTTCAATATTTACTATTTTAATAAAATTTTCCAAAGAATTTAATTATTTAAAAAAAAATGTTGATAAAATTCTAAGCAAACATTAAATTATTTTCATAAATAATAAAAATTTCACAGGAATTCAACAATTACAAATTTTTTATAAATTTTTTCGCAATAATTCAGTAATTTAATTAATTTATTAATTAATTCATAAATAATAACATTTTTACAAAAATTAAATTATTTTAATGAATAATAAAACTCATCATAGAATTTCAATTGTTTTTAATACAATTGTAATAATTGAATTCCTCGAAAAATTTAATTATTCTTGAAAATTCTATTAAAATTCCTCGAAAAAAATCAATTTTGTTGATAAAATTCTTGATGATAATTCAATTTTGAGAAACATTCATTTATTTAATAAATAATTTATTTTTGTATTTAAATAATTGAATTCTCGTAGAATTTTCCAATAAAAATTAATTTAAAAATAAATATCAGTTAAAATTTTAGATAATAATTTAATATTAAAAGAATAATTATAGCCTGAATTTTTAAAAATAATTAATAATTGAATTCTTTTGAAGAATTTTAATAAAATTTTTGAAAATAATTACAGTTTTCAAAGAATTTACTTAAAATTTTATTAAAAATAATTGAAATCATGTGAAGAATTTTATTAATTTATGAAAGTAATTGAATTCTTGCAATGGATTTTTTCAAATTTTTTTTTAAATAATTGAAATAATGTAAAGAATCTTATTATTTATGAAAATAATTGAATTCCTGCAACGAATTTTATTACATTTTTTTTTAATAATTGAATTCTTTTGAGAACTTTTATTAAAATAGTAGATTTTCAAAATATTTGAATTACAATGAAGAATTTTATTATATTAGTGAAATGTAATTAAATTGCAAAAAATTTAAGAAAATAATTCCATTTTTCTAGGAATTTATATTAAATTTTATTATAAATAATTGAAATTCTCAGAAAAATTTTATAATTTATGAAGATAATGGAATTCTTACAACATACGAATTTTATCAATTTTTTTTTAAATAATTGAATTTATGTGACAAATTTTATTACTTGTAAAAATAATTGATTTACTGCAACGAATTCTATTACATATTATTTAAATAATTAAATTCTTTCGAAAACTTTTATTAAAATAGTAAATTTTGATACTTTTTGAATTTCAGCGAAGAATTTCATTAAATTTGTGAAATGTAATGTAATTCTTGCAAAAAATTTTTGAATATAATTTCGTTTTTCGAGAAATTTATTTTAAATTGTATTAAAAATAATTGAAATCCTGTGAAGAATTTTATTGTTTATGAAAATAATTGAATTTTTTTGAGAACTTTTATTAAAATAATATAGATTTTGAAAATATTTGCGAATTACAACGAAGAATTTGATTATATTCGTGAAATGTAATTAAATTCTTGCTAAAAATTTAAGAAAATAATTCCATTTTTCTAGGAATTTACTTTAAATTGTATTATAAATAATTGAAATCCTCAGAAAAATTTTATAATTTATAAAAATAATGGAATTCTTACAACATACGAATTTTATTAATTTTTTTTAAATAATTGAATTCATGTGAAAAATTGCATTAATTGTAAAAATAATTGATTTTCCGCAACGAATTTTATTACATTTTATCTAAATAATTAAATTCTTTTGAGAATTTTGATTAAAATAGTAAATTTTGATTATTTTTGAATTTCAACGAAGAATTTATTATTTGTGAAATGTAATTTTATTCTTGCAAGAAATTTTTGAATATAATATTCTTATAAGTTGTTGAATTTTAAAAATGTTTGAATTTGAATGTTTTGAAGAATTTTAATTCCTATGGAAAAATAATAATTAAATACTTATTTAAAAATTTGCGAATAATTTGCGAATAATTTTACAATTTAAGAAATTCGTAAGTAAATGTAATAGAATGTTTTTTTTGGGAGTATTTAATAATTTTTAGAGTGAATCAGAATATTCTTTAGGGTGAGGAAAAAATCTGGAAATCATGGAAAAGTCAGGGAAAAACAAAATTAATTTGTTGTGTTAACCCTGAATTAACTTGAATTCTGATTAAGTAATTAAATAATAATCCGAAATAAATATAGAATTCTGGTATAATTTAACAGCAATTAAGAATTGAAGGAATCATTTACAGGGATGGGTCAATGATGGTCTCGTGTTTTTCTCTCCGGATTCCTTTCATTTATTTATTTATTTATTTACTCTTTTTTTTATCTATTTCAGGAGGGGGAAAAAATGTGTGTATATCAGTGTTAGCTTTAAGCGGTTTGGTCTTGCCCCATAGATTCTAAGATGAAGGTGATTTGTTTGAATTAAGGAACCGGCGGTTGGCAATAAAAATGTATATTTAATGTTGCAGAGCGAACTTACCACGCTGAAGGAACGTAAGATTGCGATGTTGGCGTTGAATGTTTCGACGCACCGACTTCTCACTGATCTCGGTCCATCGGCTGCTCCAGCTTTTGCCGCACTCAAGGATGGAGTCGCTGATCTCTATCGCATCTGGGATGAAACGGTTCAAAAGTGAGTTCATTTTACATATTTATATGCAATTTTTTATTTATTTTCTTCATTTTTTTTTCTTTTCGTTCTTTTTATTCTTTTTTATTTCTTTTTTTATTTTTATATTCCTTTATCTCATTCTCATAATATGTGACGGTATTATTTTTATTTTATTTCTTTTAATATAGAAAATTAGGAAGTGCCACAGTTTTTCTAAGGTTCTCAAATTGAGACAAAAAAAGTATCAACTTGAGGACTTTAGAAAAACTTTGTGAAGAAATTGACTTGAGTCTAAATTATCCATTTTTCTTTATAAAGAATAATTATTTCGTTATTATTTAATAAATTTTGAGTTTTTATTCAATAGAATTTTAATTTTACTAATTCTTTTGATTAGGAATTCGGCTAAATAAAAATTGCGACTTAGAAAAATTCTAAATTTAATAAAAATTTGACTGAGTAGAATATTCATTATAAGTAAAAATTAAGGTAAATTAAATTTTTGTGATTAAAAATTTGGCTACATAAAAATTATGCTTAATAGGAATTCAACTAAATAGAATTTAAATTAGCTTAAAATCCAAGCAAATTTAGTTTTTTTGATTAAGAAAAAAAAGAAAAAAAAATTTTTTTTAGTTAACTAAAAATTTAGCTACATTAAATTCTATTTCTTAGAAATTTGGATTAATAAAAATTCCAATTAATAAGAATTGATTTTAATTTAAAATTGTGATGAATAAAAATTCGATTAATTAGAATTTCTGTTCAGATAAATTAAATTCTTCTGATTAAGAATTTGGCTAAATAAAAATTGTGATGAATAAGAAGTTGACTGAAGAGAATTTCCATTAATTAATTAATTCAGGAAAATTGAATTCTTTTGATTAGGAATGTAATTAAATAAAAATTCCAATTAATAAAAATTGCGATTAATTGAAAATTCTGTTTAATAAAAATTAGACTAAGTAAAATTTTTATTTACTAAAAATTCAAGAAATTTAAGATCTCTTGATTAAAAATTTGGCTTAATAACAAATTCAAATTAATAAAAATTGCGGTTAATTAAAAATTCTGATTAATAAAAATTAGACTAAGTAGAATTTTATTAATTTAACATTCAAGTAAATTAAATTCTGTTTAATAAAAATTAAACAAATTAGAATTTTCATTAACTAAAAATTCAGGAAATTTATGTTCTCTTGATTAAATGTTTGATTTATTAAAAATTGCGGTTAATTAAAAATTCTGATTAATAAAAATTAGACTAAGTAGAATTTTATTAACTACACATTCAAGTAAATTAAATTCTTTTGATTAGGAATTTGGCTAAATTAAAATTGCGGATAATAAAAATTAGACTAAGTAGAATTTTATTAACTACACATTCAAGTAAATTAAATTCTTTTGATTATGAATTTGGCTAAATAAAAATTGCGGTTAATTAAAAATTCTGTTTGAAAAAAATTAGACAAATTAGAATTTTCAGTAACTAAAAATTCAGGTAAATTAAATTCTTCCTATTGAGAATTCGGTTTAATAAAAATTTCAATAAATTCGAATTCCGACCAAAGAAAAATTCGATAGAATAAGATTTGGACCAAACAGAAAAATTTCAGCTAATTAATTGTAAATTATAAATATTCTATTGTAAAATTAAATATTTAGCTGTAAATTTAAATATCTAGCTGTAAATTTAATTATCTAGCTGTAAATTTAAATATTTAATTAAATTATTAAATAAATTATAAATGTTAGTTTGTAAAAAAAAAATTGAAATTTGTCCCTATTGTGATTAAAAATAACCCGTGCGAAATTTTTGCATTTATTTAGAATAACTTTTTCCCTTTGCTCGATAAGAAATAAAGTAATAAAAAGGGTTATCATGGAATATCATTATTGGAGCAAAAAAAAGAAAGGAAAAAAAAAGAAAAAGGTGGGAGAATGCTAACAGTATCGTTGAGGACCTTTTCCGATTAAACTTGGCAATTCTCCCTCCCTTCCTGGCCCTTCTCTTTATAAAGCTGGTAATCCCGTGACACGGGTCAAGACTGCTATCTCGTATCTTGGATGATCCCCTTTCTCACAATGCTCGTTGCCTATTTATGATGTTCTCCCAGTTTTCCCAATGTTTGCTCTCGAGGCTTCATTACCTTTCACAATATTTGCTCTACGTCACATACCGAGTAAGTGACGGTCAGTCAATGAAAGAACACCCCCCCTCTCTCCTACTTTATTATTTTCAACCCCTCTATTTGCCTCTATTCTCAACAAATTTATCAAAAAAAAAAAAACATTATATTTGTTAAAAATATACCTTAAGAAAAATGGTTTGAAATTTTTTGTTTTGCATTTTTATGAAAAATTTTCTTATGAAAAATTATATTTTTCTTGTGGAGAAAATATAATTTTTCGTCTCGGAATCGTATGATTAAATGTTTGGATATGGAAATTAGAATTTGAATTTTTATTTATGAATTGAAAATTATTTTTTGGGGGAGGAAAAATTATTGACGAAAAATGAATTTTTTTTTAAGAAGGAAAAACTGTTAATTAAAAGGTCTTCTTAATATTTAGATTGAAAAAGTAGAATTTAATATTTGAGTTCAAGATTGAAAATTATATTTTTGTCCAGAAAAAAAATTGTCGGAAAATTCTATTTAGAAAAAGAAAAAAATTAAATAATTAGACAAATTAAAAAATTTAATTGTTAACTAAATGTTTCGTTCGTTGCATTTAGATTTTAAAATTAAACAGAGTTTGAATTTTGATTTTTAAATTGAGAAATATTTTTTGCTGATTTATCGAGAAATTGATTAATTTAATTAATTTTTTTGTAAAAGGGAAATTGTTAAATTAAATAATTAAAAAAAATTTCTTAAGCGTTTTGTTTAATGTCTAGATTTGAAAAGTAAAGAATTTGGATTTTTTTCTAAACTGAAAATTGTTTTTTGCTTTAGGAAAAAATATTGAGAAAAAAATGATGTTTTTTTCAAAAGAAGGTAAAATTGTTTGAGTAAAATTCACAACATTTATTTTTCGTCAAATTGAATTTGTTGCTTATGAAAAGATCCCGGGATCACGATTCATGGGAAATTAGACTTGACCTTTGTAATCTGCAAAAACCCCGAGTGGGTCAGTGGTCAATCCCGTTTTACATGAGCCTCCTATCAACCGAAGGGGATCAAGTACTTATATGGAAATTAAAATAGGGTTTAAAATCCTAATAGAGGAAAACATTTTATATGATCCGTCGGTTTATTCCTTTGAGAAATAAAGAAAATTGGAATTATTCTTTTTCATTTGGGAACAAGTAATTAAATAGGTATTAATTAAAATATACCTAGACGAAATTTTTCGATTTCTGATAGTTTTTTCCAAATAAATAGAATTTCCTGAAGATCGAAATTAATTTCAAGAGTTGGAATAAGTTTTTTCTATTTATTTTCACTATGTGAGGGGTTTCGAGATAAAATGTTATTTTTTGCTGAAATTAGAAGAGAGGGCTCTTGGAAAAAAACAATGCCCCTTATTTGTCTCTTAAGAAATTACTTCCTCTCTTCATTTTTGTTGCGCTTTATTAACTCAAGTCAATCAAATGAATCTTGAAATTTTTTTACCACAATTTTTCTTCTACTCTTTTAGAAATTTACCAAATTTTTAATTATTAATTTTATTTGCAATAAAGTTTATTCATTTTATTTTTATTGCAGGGAAATTAGAGAAAAGTCAGGGATTTTTATTAAAAGTACTGGAAAAAATTAAATGTTTAGAATTTATAAGAAAATTCATTTATATTCAGGAATTTTTATAATATTCATTGTAAAATTCAATTCTTTTCATAAATAACAATATTCATCACAAGAATTCAATTATTTTCAAAATTAATAAAATTCTTCGCAGAAATTCAATTATTTTTAAAGAATCCAAAAAAGATCGTTATCATTTCAATTATTTTTATAATTGAATAGCAAAATTCTTCGACAAAATTCAATTATTTTCAGGAATTTTAAAAATAAAATTCACTGCAAAATTCACTTATTTTTAAATGTAATAAAATCCAATTATTTTCAAAATTTTTAATAAAATTCATGGCAAAATTTCAATTATTTTCAAAAATTTTTCTTAATTCAATAATTTTCAATATTCTGCTATTTTAATAAAATTTCTCAAAAGAATTCAATTATTTAAAAACAATTCAATTGTTGTAAATTTTTTTATAAAATTCTTCGCAATAATTACATTATTTTCATAAATAATAAAACTCATTGCAGAATTTCAATTATTTTTAATACTACTTTAAATTAATTAAACGAGAAATTCAATTATTTTCACAAATAAAATTTTCATAATATTTATTATATTTCGAAATAATTAATTATTTAAAAAAATGTTTTTAAAATTCAATTATTTTGAAAAATAACAAAATATTTTACAAAAATTCAATTCTTTTTAATTTAATTTCAATTCCTCGAAAATAGCAATTATTTAAAAAATGTTTTTTTTTAATTCTTTGAAAGAATTCAATTATTTACAAAATTATTAGAATTTTTCACAGGAATTCAATTATTTTCAAATATTTTTAAAAAATTGTTCGAAAGAAATCAATTATTTTAAATACAATTTTAATTTAATTTTTTTTTTAGAATAATTCAATTATTCTTTTAGATTTTAATAAAATTCTTCCCAAGAATTCAATTATTTACATAAATAATTCTTCGAAAGAATTTAATTCTGTCGATAAATAACAAAATTATTCTCAAAAATTCAATTATTTTCAGGCACTTTAATAAAATTCTTTGTAAAATTCAATTATTTTCATAAAGAAAAAAAAAAAAAAAAAATTCCTGAAAAGAATTCAATTATATTTAAAAGTACATATAATAAATTTCTTCTTGGAGAATTTCAATTATTTTTAATACAATTTTAAACAAATTCCTCAAAAAATGTAATTATTAATAAAAATTTTATTAAAATTCCTCGAAAGAATTCAGTTATTTAAAAATTTGTTGATAAAATTCTATATAGGAGTTAAATTTTAAGAAACATTCATTCATTTATTCAATAAATTATTTACATTATTATGTATTTAAATAATTGAATTCTCGTAGAATTTTCTAATAATAATTGATTTAAAAATTAATTTTATATAAATTTTTAGATTTAACTTTGAAAAAATTATTAATTATTGTAATTTTTATAAATAATTGAATTTTATAAAGGTTTCAAATTAAAATCTTTGAAAATTTGAATTTTTTATACTTTTAATTAAAATTTTTATTATTGGAACTAATTTTTTTCAAAAAGCTTAATCGCAATTTTTTAAAATTATTTCAAGTTTTTATTTTTTAATTTTATTTATATTATTATTATTTATATTTATTTTATTTATATTTTTATTTACATTTATTTGATTAATTTTTTAATTTTTTTATATTTAATTAAAAAATTTCCGAATATTCTTTCAAGTTATTGAATTTTAAAAGGTTTGAATTTAAAATTTTTGAAATCTTTTTTCCTATGAAAAAATAATAATTTTTATCTATTTTTTTTTATTTTTTATTGGTAATAAAATTTATTCTATATTCATTAAAATTTTTATTTCTACTCTTTTAGAAATTTACCAAATTCTTTATTTATTTGTTTCTATTTATTTTTTATTTGTAGTAAAATTTATTTATTATATTTTGCCATAAAATTTATTTACTTCATTTGTCATAGAATTTCTGTATTTTATTTTCAAATTGAATATATTTAAAAAATTACTATTTTTAGTATTATTATTATTTTCACCAATTTTATGTGGAATTTTATTAATAATAAATAGAGGAAAGTTGAATTGACGATAATTTTTTTGTTATTGCAGGGGTAATCAACAATTATGTGCCTTGCAAGCAATTCAACAATTCGTCGCGCGTTTGACTGAATTACAATGTGCATTGCGAAGAGATAAGGACGCCCTTGGAGTTTTAGATGCAGCCCTTCAAGCAGGTGCCACCAACGAAGTAGCGTCTTCCGTACGCGACGTTGCACGTCTCCTTTCCGAGAAGCAGGACGCCAATTGCCAAGTAAGTTGACAAATTTCAATAAAGCTAAATTATTGTTATTAACAATAAAAAAAGTATTGTTAGTGACAGTAATAATAAATCTTTGTTGAAATAATAATAAAAAATCGTAAGTAACAATAATAAAGGCAGGGACAATAACAAAAAATTATTGTTAGCGATAGTAATAATAAATTTTTGTTGAAATAATAATAAAAAAAATAGTAAGTAATAATAATAAAAAATTGTAAGTAACAATAATAAAGGCAGTAACAATAACAAAAAATTATTATTGGTAATAATAATAATAAAAAATTAATGTCGAAAACAACAATAATAAATTATTGTTGGAAGCAATAATAAATTATTGTTGGAAACAATAATAAACTATTGTTAGGGACAGTAATAATAATAAATAATTGTTACTGTAAAAAATGATAATATTATTATAATTTTTTGGTCTATTGCTGATGCAATAATTTCTAATTATTGTTAGCAATAAACAAAGTTTCTTATAAAATGAAAAATATGCAAATCAATTTGCTGGTAATATTACGCGTATGATTTTAATTGACTAGGAAAAGAATCTCAGTCTCTCGACCTTTGCTCTTTGATTCCTTCGTCCATTCGCGTCTACTTCCTTTTTTCCAATGGCTCATCGTACCTGTATATTCAAGTTACTAATTTAAATCGTTTGGCTATTATTAGTAATGATCCATGACGAGACATGAAGTGATTGCAGTGGGTAAGGTAAGCGCACAGCCTCGCGATTAGTATATCATCTTCCGTCCCTATTTTCCTCTCGTATTCGTCGATTATTATTCACTTTTCAAATACCCTGGTGTATGAGAATTGTTCAATTACACTGATTCCGAATAATTCCTATATTTTCATATATATTTTCAAGTGTTCCGAAAAAGAAGTAATTTCCAATTTTGTTTCATTTCTTAATAAATTTTTATTAGAAAATTTTTCGAAAATTCAATTATTTACATACAAAAATAAATCATTTATTTAACAGTTGAATATTTCTTAAAATTGAATTTTTATGTAGAATTTTATAAATTTTTTTTTAAAATAATTGAATTCTTTCGGTGAAATTAAAAAAAATAATTTAAGAATAAATGCAATTTTCTATCATCATATTTAAAATAAAATTGTATAAAAAATAATTTAAATTCGGCGATAAGTTTTGTTATTTATGAAAATAATTGAATATTCTTGCAACGAATTTTATTAAAAAATTTCTTAAAGAATTGAATTCTTGTAAAGAATTTTATTTGTAAAAAGAATTGAATTCCGGAGAAAAATATTATTATTCATGAAAATAATAATTAGTTTCTTGTGAAGAATTTTATTCAAATTTTTTTAAATAATTGAATTTCTCAGAATTTTTTTAAACTTTTAAAAAATAATTAAACCCCATCGAGAAATTCCATTAAGAAATTGAAAGTAATTGAAATCTGACAAGGAATTAAAAAAAATTCTTTTTTAAATAATTGAATACCTGTGAAAATGTTTATTTTTGAAAAGAGTTGAATTCTTGGGAAAAAATTTATTAAAATTTCTTAAATAATTGAATTGCTTCGAAGAATTTTAGTTTTTACGAAAATAATTGAATTCTTTCGAAGATTCTTATAAACATTTTTGACAATAATAATTGTATTCCTAGAAAGAAACGTTATATTTTACAAAAATAATTCTATTCTACGACCAATTTTATTATAATTTTTCAAATTTTACAATTACAAAGCATTTTACCAAAATTTGTTTAAATAATATTGAATTCCCAAGAAAAATTTTATTATTTATAAAAATAATTGGTTTCTATCAAAAAATTTTATTCAATTTTTTTTTAAATAATTGAATTCACATAAAAAAAAGTGTATTATTTATGTGAAAATAATTGAATTCTCAAGAAGAATTGTACTGAAAATAATTGAATTGTATAGGAAAATTTTATTAAAATTGCAAGTTTATTAACTAAATCTTGTAAAGAATTTTGTCAACATTTTTTTAAATAATAGAATTTTTAAAAGAATTTTATTTTTCAAAATAATTGAATTTCTCAGAACTATTTTAAATTTTTTTCAATTTTCTGTATATATTTGAATTCTTTGGAGAAACTTCATTAAAAATTGAAAATTATTGAATTGGTGCAAAGAAATATGTAAAAAAAAATGGTATAATATTTGAATTCTTGTGAAATTTGTATTAAAATTTTTTTTTGAAATAATAGAATTCTTTTGTAAAATTTTATTTTAAAATAGTAGATATTAAAAATAATTGAAATGAGGAAAATTTTTGAAATCGTGCCAAGAATTTTATTAAACAAAAAACACCAAAATTCAGAATGTTCTTATATAATTTCTAAAAATTTAATTTTTTCCGATACTTTTAATAAAAATCCATGACTTTTCCCTGATTTCCCTGACCAATTCTAATTTCCCTGATTTCACAGACTTGTGGCAACCCTGTACAACTTAATTTTTTTATTTAAGTCATTTAAAAAATTTTTAATGAAGAGGAATTTTAATATTTATTATTTAACTAAATTTCTGATTGGTGAAATTTTTTTTACTCAGTTCACTTAAATAAATTTTAACGAAGGGGAATTTTATTAATTATTATCTAACCAGATTTCTGTTAAGCAAATTTTTTATTTTCAATTTATTTGAGTAAATTTTAACGAAGGCGAATTTTATTATTTATAATTTTACCAAATTTATGACTAGTAAATTTTTTATATTTAATTAATTTAAGTAAATTTTCAAGAAGACGAATTTTATTATTTATAATTTGACCAAAAACCAATTTTCTAATTATCAAATTTTTTTATATTCAATTCATTGAAATAAATTTTAACGAAGACAAATTTTATTCTTTATTATATAATCAAATTTTTGATTTATAAAAATTATTTTACGATAACAAATTATAATAAGCAGTCATTAAACTTGAAAAAAAATGTTTAAACAATTTTTTCTGAAAAAATTAATTAGCTTAAAGGATTAATTAAGTTGAATGAATTGAAATTGAAAATAAATGAATATTTTTAAATGAAAGTTAATTGTTTGAAAAATAATTGAAAAGTGGAATAAAATAATTTGCAGTGCGAAAAAGTTTGATTGTAGATCAACGCGAGTCGACTTGATGTTACCATGATGCCCTTTGCACTCATCAAAGATGATGGTTCTCGGTCCTCTATATATAAAGGCTATGTTGTTTCAGGATATTCAGTCTCTCAAGATTAATTTCCCCAAGCTGATTACTAAAAATAATGCTTTCGAAGCGTAAACACTCACGAATTATCCACGCCAATTTAACTTTCGAATTTCCCCACCATATATATTAAACACGTATTTCTCTTTTCCCATTCACCGCACAAACCAAAATATCTGATTTTTTATATTTTATTTTCAATTCTCCAGAAATCAGTTATTAATTGTGTGAAATAAATTTCCATAAAGAAATTTTCATTCATTTTATTTTCCAAAGAAAAATTTTTCGAAGTCAAAATTTGTTCAATTAGAAAATTGCCTAATAATGAGAAATTCATTAAAAATCAAAATTTGGTTACATTTTTTTGGTAAAAGATGAAGCAATAAAAAAAGGGGAAAAAATCAGTAAAAATAAAAAGAAGTTTAAAAAAAAAAATAAGGCAGGCGAGAGAAGACAGACTTTCTTTTGCCCTCTCTTGAATTATCGCCACGCCTTCCACCTTTATAAGTCGTTCTTGTAATATTCCTCGTTTCGCGTCCTATCTTTCCTTCATACATCCCGACAGATCTCGCCGCCTTTCGCGTACCACCAGCATACGCGGATATGAAATTCCCACACTCGTGTATATAAATACCCCAACTCTCAAAAATTACAATTATTTTTATAAATAAAAATTGAAACTAAAAGGGTAAAGGTAAAATTATAACTATAATAATGATAATAATAATGGGAAATATAGTTTAATATTTAATCATATAGCGATGAAATTTAATGAAGAAATCGTTTCGGAATTGTTGTTTGTGTTTTCCCTTGATTTTCAATCGGTGAAATAGCTCTGTTTGCAATTATTCAACGTCAATGGACGGGGCAACGGGTCCCGCGGGTACCGCTTGTGCCGCGCATAAAACGATTTTCTCGGCTAGATTGGAAAGAACGGAAAATTCAAGGGATATATAAGTGTCGTAGATCTTTAAATGCTATCCTCCATGTACGTTAATGTTGACTGAGGATAAAACGATCTTTTTTTTTTAACCAAATCTCGAATAGAATTTTCGACCAAATCTCGTCCTCAGAAAAATTCTGAATTCGAATTTATTTTTAATTTGATCGACAAAATTTTGTTCGAAAAAAATTTTAATATTACCTATATGAATAATTGTAGAAAAATGGGCAAAATATAATTATTCTTAAGGGTCATTTTTAAGCAACAAAAATTTTTTTCAGGAACTCAGAATACGGCCAAATGAATCTTAATCTAAATAAAAATTTTAGATAAAAAAAAACAAAAAAAAACTAAAATCTAAATTTTAGATAATAGACTAGAACAATTAATTAATGCTTACTTAATTCATAATGTCTAATTAATTCATTAATCTTTAATACCTTCATTCATTAAATAAATGATTATTATGTACTTAATGAAAGAATTCTATCGAATAAATTATATTTAATAAATATTCGGTTGAATCGAAAAAATTTTAAATAAGAATTTAGCTAAATAAAAATTCTTTTGGAATAAAAATTTCCAGATAAAAACTCTAGAAATACTCTCTAAATTTGTATTAGTAAAAAATAAAAACATTTACTAATTTAAAGTCAAAATTGATTTTTTTTCTTTTGAATTAAAAATTTCAAATTCAAACCCATTTAAAATTAAACAACTTATAAAAAATTGTTATAAAACATGAAAAAAATGGATCACTCCGAGTCTTCGACTCGGAGCAATCGATATCTTCATGTTTTATAATAATTAAAGATGACCGAGTGATATAAATTTGGTTATTTTTGAAAATATTTAAATT